TCTTCTCGCGACCAGTCCTCACGGATTTTCGATAGGATCCGAGGATTAGGCTCACCACTTGGAAATTGTTTTTCGACGAACACTTAAAAGCTTTATGAAAATTTCAGGCAGTGTATATATTTAGTTTAGTAATCGTTGACAGTTCGTAAAAAGTTGATAAATGTAGCAAAAAGTGTATCAATTATAAAAGCTACCTCTTATCCTGCAATAATAAAGTAATTTGATGAACATACTAGTCTTCTCCTGGTAATTATGTTATTCATAAAATCTTTTACTAAATACATAAATGTTGCCAAGCGCTTTGATTTATCATTTAACGAGCATGGTTCCGTGATCTGTCACGCGCCACGCACCGAGGCTGATTCCGCTCTCTTATTTTTTTTCACCATTTTTCCGCGGCGCACGCGGACGACCGAGATAAAATCGCCGGCTACTGTGTACTCATGTATGTATTTATACATATATGTATGTACCTGTGCGTGCATTTTCGGCAGCGAGGGTCGGGCTTGCTTTCGCTACTAATTTCAGCCCGTCATACACCTTACTTGTAGTTGCACATCACGCGCAATACGATTTACGTGACGTGCCCGACCTCGTGACGAGCTTTACCAGTATGCAACCCGCGACAAGCCGCATCCCCCTTGCACCTGGTAATTTCCACGAAAAATATCCGTGATACTGATTCGCGGTTACCGTGCCCTAAACAAAACTGTGATCGCTCTAATTCTCCCAGGTGGAAAGAAACGAGGATTTTTATATTAGAACGTAGCTTTGTCCCAATAGTCAATGGGTGACAATTGAGATTGTTGACAGGACGTAAAAAAATGAAATCATTAATTTTTGAATTTATCACTTCTCGAATTTGACGGTGTATAATTGGATGACCCATATTAATTAATTCGGTTCCATACAGAATCGAAAATGTAGACATATTATATGTAACAATAATTATAGTAATTAGTAGGACCGGTAATTACGATCAGATTTAACGAGGAACACGAAAATTAAGATGGAACGTTGATTAAAGGTAAATCAATAACTCTGATGCCTTTTTGATCTCGTTTTAGAAAGTTTGGAAATTCTGTAACCCAACATCTAATTATAATTAAATTTTTGAATACGAACAGTGTTTAAAAGTATAAGTTATTCCTCTAAGCCAGGGCTTCTTAAACTTTTGTCATTCACGACCCCATTTATGATTGCGAGTTACCATTACAGTCGTCAAAATTTTGCTACGCGACCCCATTTGGGGTCGCGACCCATAGTTTAAGAAGCCCTGCTCTAAGCCATTTATTAAAAATTCGTTTAGGAATCTAACTGCTATTAAAACTTTTCTGATCATGACTTGATCTCGTCATTAACATGAATTTCCTGTCATTCTCCTGGGGATTAAGACGCGCTGATCAGTTATGCCGTAGGCCGTGTATGGGGGTGGTCCCTTTAAACGCACGACAGAAAGCAGGAATTGGATCATCGATTAGAGACGGTCAATTATGGAATCGCGTCGGGCAGACATCACACGAGTAATTCGACGCTTCCAGCTGGAATATTACTGCCAGGAATGCGGATGGTTACCAAGCCGCGCGCACCGTACCGAAATATAATTAGGTAACGTCGATAAATGAAAAGCATTCGGTACGGGGCTCACGTAGCGTCAATGCGATTTTGAGTCGGCTCTTCGAAACAATTAAATATTCTATTATTGGTGACGGAGACCAACGGATACAGAGAGATTTTCGGTATCCATTAGCGACCGGATGCAACGAGCTTCCGTGGCGCGTAAGAGTATTAGTATCCTTCGCAGGGGACATGCTTTTTCTTTAATTTCGTTATAGGTCACAAATGTTTACTACGAATTTATGCTTTTATCATAGATGAAATATACGAGGAAATCTGTCCTTTATGGACTTCCGTGTCTCATGTTCGACTGTTATTCCGGCACGAAAATTATAAGAGAGGATGATCCCGGATTTAAAAATTCAGAATTGTTCATCTGGTGAAAGATTATGAAATAGAAATGACAAAATCGTTTTCCCTGCCCATTATAATTTAGCCATTATCACAGTACATTATATTTGAAGCACTCTTGAAATCTCACTAAGAGAGTTGGTAAAAGAAAGTATTATTTTGGAAAGTCTAAACAACAAAGAGCTCATATATTATAGAAGACAAATAATAACACACTTTTAATTAAGTTAAAAATTTCTTTCTTTAATTTGTTTCATTTCCTATCATAGTGATTGCCAGGATTACTTTCTATAATAATCTCTTGATAACTGTGTCAGTGACAAGGAAATTATAATAAGGCTTTAGATCTCCACAGAACAAAAAACAGTAAAAATACATACGTTAATAGATCATCTCGTATCCGTGCTTTTATTTGAACTAACGTAATGATAATACCACAAATCACTACCAAACCGTTGTATAATCTATGAATTAGACCATAACGTAAATTATGCAACAATCGAAATGTAATTGGCATTGCTTAATTTTTCATTATTTTCATAATGTATATTCGGTTTCCTACGTTATTAATTGTACAAGGCGTAACTGAATTATTGCGGGTTGCAGTTATTAATTACTACATGTACTAAGAATTTATTAATTGAACGCACGATACACTAATAAGATTCGTTTGTTAATACAATATTAAAAAATGAACAGTCATAAAATATTTCAGGAAATAATTATCAAAATTTTTACCTTCCCTTTAACAGAAATATGTTAAAAAATCGCTACGTCTACTTTATATATCAAAAACAAATTCCAATCGAAAAGAGCAAACATGCTCGTGATGAATATTGAAATCAATTAAAATGAAACTCGGTAGAAGAGTATCGGAGTTCGAGTATCAGTCCTAGGAAAGAGTTCACAAAGTTTTAAATTATTACGTACACTCCGTCGCAGGTAATGCAATGGAAAGTGTGTGATATGAATGATTCAAAATCAGGCTGTGTTAAAAATTGAGTAACGCTATCGATGGCCAACATGGGACAGATGATTCTAGGTGTTGCTTACTCAACTCACCTGCACAGCATCTATTCGATGCAATTACTATCCAATTGCCTATACGAAATGGACATCTAATCTGGTATATATCTAGGCTCCCCTGTAGCAATAATTCTCTGCCTTATCCCGTCGACGAACGCCGGCCTGGCACGTAGTAATTAGCGAGGAATCAATCAAGAATACGAGTGTGGACGAGAATGCCTCGCGTCACGTCATCGGGTTTCCGATTCAATTTCAAGGCGTTTAGATTAACGTGGGATCTAAATACATGAGATTGTCCAGCCACAACGTGTTAGGTATTTGCAATCCTAAATCCGTTTACCGACTGTAGCTTTAGAATTAAAACCAGCGCCGGGTGTTTTATTTTCATTTTAAGTATCTCGAGAAGCTTGTTCATTTTAACCAGTACCGGGCTGTTTATGTTTCATGACTTTACGACTGTTGAAGCCATTCGGAGGCAGTGCACAAAGTGTTTTTGTGCATTACCTCTGGGTTTCTTATAGGTAGGTATCTAAGTGTGACCCATTTAATGAGAGTGGTCATCCCGTTCTTGCCCGTTCGGGCTGGTGCAAGTTCTTCACCATACAGAAAACAGTGACCCGGTTTTCCCGCAATCGAAGATATCTCAACACCCTCAAACTGATATCTAGATACTTATTATGGATCACACGTTTCAACGAAATGAAATAAAAATTCTCTTTCAGTTAACCAACTTTAAATAAAATATTAATATTATTATTTTATTAAAATATTATAATTCGAATATCTTTCTTGGTTATTTTACATGTTACATGATACACTTTAAAATAATTAATGTTTAAATGAAAAATAAAAGAGATGTGAAGAATAGGAGAGTAGCTATTAACAAGAAAAAAGAAAATGAAGTAAAAAGCTACTTGTTTGTTTGCCGGTCGTAGGAAAACGCGGCAAGGCGAGGCGTTCCGGTTGCAACCGGAAGTGCAAGGGGGCAGACAGTAATCCGAGGGTCGTTGTTCTTGTTCCAGGAGAGCATCCAGCTGCAATGCAGCACGGGAACACGGCAGCAGGCTCGCCAGCATCGAAGACGGTCCTCGTAATGCTCGCCTTCTTTTTGGGTCAATTGAGATAATGTGTGTTCTCGTACGTGTCCGTACGTGTGCGTCTTCAACCTGTTTGTGTGCGCGTGCTCCGTGTGCGTGTGCGAATGTCGGCCCGTGTCTGTGTGTGCGCGTGAATGGGGAAGGGTGGTGTGCACGTGCGAGTTTACGCGGACATTAACGAGTCTTTACCGAGCATTAACTGAAATTCGATGGATCGTTGGACACAATAAAACGTAGACACCTACCCCTCACCCTGTTTGTACCTTGATCGAAATTAAATTGGCGGCCGAGCATGTCACGGAACGATCATCGATGAAGAAGCTTTCGCCATCTGCAACGCCGAGGTATGTTTCACGAAGGAACCTGATTATTAAGACAGTTTTATATCCGTGAATATGGTTCGTGAAATGATCAGTAACTGGTGGTTGGTTTCTTAATCTTTTAATTAATAATAATTGAAAAGCATTTTATAATTAGTAAATGAAACGTTAATTTGTAAATTTTTAATATTCAAACGGGAACAAATTTTTAATCACATTAAGAATGTTACTTCTTTGAATGTATCGCGTTATTTCTATCTACAATTTTTTCGATAGAGTTTTCGAAATGAAAGCTTTTAGGAAAATTGAAACCAGGATGAACAGACGTCGCAAAAATAATAAGAAACATATTATTTGAAATTGTTTAATTAATCTCTTATTACGATTCTTTATCTAACGGTCGTGTGAGAAGTTCCAAATTTCACAATTACAGACGTTAAGGAAGAATAATCTATAGTCTGAAGTATAACAAATATACTGGAAGATCACACGAGAAAGTCCATTATTAAACAGTTCTCCGGTTCGCGTTAGTTTCGTAAACTAGTTTGCACTCCACGGAATGAAAGGATAACGTTGCAAACAACGCGATGTTTGCTCCTCTTTCTAAGAGAATTAAAGACCGCTGATGAAAAAAGTTTGTCGATATTTTTCCACGGATAAACCCCGGCCCGGGTAATTCTCGATACGAATTAAGGGTACAAACAAGCTCGAAAGCTATTTTCTTAGAGGATTCCGTAGAGGAACTCGAGAAATCTAGGAAACATATTGAGTTTCTCAAACTGAAAATAATTATATTAAATTATGTAGTTACATACGACCATAATTTATTTTTATTAATTTTATAAACATTATCATGTACGTTTATATAAAAATAATCATTGATTTCATTTAATTTCTAGTCAGATTGTTGATATTTACTTCTCATACAGTTTTTAAATATATGTTAAAAGATACGAACACTATGAGATTTGTGAAACTGTTGAACGGAATGTTGGATAATATTGAACAACAGAAAGCTTCTTCCGATCGGTTTTCTCACGACTAGGCAACAGAATTAACGTAACAACGATGGAGATTTCCTCCGAGCACACATCATGCTGTTCCATTGATTTAAATGTTAATTAAGTGCGAGAAGGATCGTCGATGAAGGAACTCTGTCGAAGCCGGTTCCGCGTGGAGGTCACGGCTAAACCCAGTGCATCCATAGGAAAGGAAGAGCTCTATTGAAAATAAAAAAAAAAACGTCGTCGTAGTTATCCCGGGTTCGATATGTGTAATAACTTGCAGGTAACATGCATTCTAGTGTCGTTGAAATAATGGAAAACGAAGTATGTGCCGCGGTGACGTTCGTGTACGCACAAGGTACATTATAAATGACGATTCAACGATCAACGTAAAGGATAATTTACGTGTTTAAGATTGTGAACGTGTGCTCGAATATATGAATAATTCGATGTGTATGTTCGCGAATTAGTAGGGACGATTATTATACATATGTATATTGTAATCGTTGCGAAGCGATCGTTAGAGAACTAAAAAAGGGAGGCTCTTTCGTTCGTTCGTTCGTTTTAATGAATATGTTAATGAATGTGCAAATCTTCTGCGAGATACAGGAATCACTTCGTCTCGTTGTTTTGTCATTAAAAAAAATGAAACGTAATACCAATGAATATTCAATTTTTCTGCTGACCTCACGGTTGTTATGTACTAATTAAATAGTTCGCAAACAACGAAATTTTATACGTGAATTGAATACCTATATGATCTTTTTAATATTCGATATCTCGTAATATGATTTTTTTAATATTTTATATTATGATCTTTGGATCTTTCTTCATCCCTGGTTCCTCTGTAAGTAGAACTTTCAGCTTCGACAAAGGAACGCTGACATTATTTTGTAACGCAAGCCAAAAAATATTGACAAGGGATTCTCCCACGGATGCTCGTGGTTCCGAAAGAAATTCTGATATTACTAGCTGTACCGCGATAACACACGTTTTCGGGTAAAACTCGCGTCGGATCTCGCGACAAATCGAATTTCACGCTTCGTTCTGGGTTTCCTTCAACGAAACGTACTTCATTCCGTCGCGGATACATGATGGAACAGCAAATTCTATACCAAATTCAAGAAAGAAGCTCGAACACGGCGCGTTCGAGTTATTTCCTCTCTCTTATTTTTTACCGTATAAAAACTGAAGGTCTCAGAACTAAAGGCAATTAAAATTAATCATTTAAGAATAAGCTTTTCAGAAGTTTCAGTCGTAATCAGAACTTCGATAAGGAAAATAAAAGAGGGAATCAATTTCTTTAGAGAGTAATGTCGATTCCGAGCACGGATTTCCATTGTCTTTACGGCACGCAAGGAAAAATTGTGGAAATCAACGAACTAGGGGAATGAAACCGAGGGGCGGGAAGGGGATTCAGCTCTTTTACGAGGAACACGCGCATCAACAACGCGGATTACAAATTTTATTGCGGTAGCCAAACTGGAAACGTTCGTATGCGATCTTGGTATTTTTGTGCCGACGGGATTTTGTCTGGTTGTTCACCGCACCGGTGAAATAACTTGGTCTCGTATCTGAATGCGAAAGGAGCTCTTGAAAGAGAGAAAACAATGCCAAGGATTTACGCTGGCATTAGAATTTTCTTTTTAACATTTACCTATGCTTTTCCATTATTTTTACGTATCTTAATTGGCCTGTGATTTAATAAGGATTCCGAAACTCGGAATCAATATTTCCGATAATAAAAAGGGGACATTGGAAGCTGATGAGCTATTTTGAAAAATATTCGACGAAAGAGTTAGCGATGTGCTGCTGAAATTAAAATTATTTATTTTCGTTTTACATTTTTGCTGTCCTCATTATTATTCGCTTGTTTTAAAATTTAAACTAATAAATATTGACAAGGGATTCTCCCACGGATGCTCGTGGTTCCGAAAGAAATTCTGATATTACTAGCTGTACCGCGATAACACACGTTTTCGGGTAAAACTCGCGTCGGATCTCGCGACAAATCGAATTTCACGCTTCGTTCTGGGTTTCCTTCAACGAAACGTACTTCATTCCGTCGCGGATACATGATGGAACAGCAAATTCTATACCAAATTCAAGAAAGAAGCTCGAACACGGCGCGTTCGAGTTATTTCCTCTCTCTTATTTTTTACCGTATAAAAACTGAAGGTCTCAGAACTAAAGGCAATTAAAATTAATCATTTAAGAATAAGCTTTTCAGAAGTTTCAGTCGTAATCAGAACTTCGATAAGGAAAATAAAAGAGGGAATCAATTTCTTTAGAGAGTAATGTCGATTCCGAGCACGGATTTCCATTGTCTTTACGGCACGCAAGGAAAAATTGTGGAAATCAACGAACTAGGGGAATGAAACCGAGGGGCGGGAAGGGGATTCAGCTCTTTTACGAGGAACACGCGCATCAACAACGCGGATTACAAATTTTATTGCGGTAGCCAAACTGGAAACGTTCGTATGCGATCTTGGTATTTTTGTGCCGACGGGATTTTGTCTGGTTGTTCACCGCACCGGTGAAATAACTTGGTCTCGTATCTGAATGCGAAAGGAGCTCTTGAAAGAGAGAAAACAATGCCGAGGATTAACGCTGGCATTAGAATTTTCTTTTTAACATGTACCTATGCTTTTCCATTATTTTTACGTATCTTAATTGGCCTGTGATTTAATAAGGATTCCGAAACTCGGAATCAATATTTCCGATAATAAAAAGGGGACATTGGAAGCTGATGAGCTATTTTGAAAAATATTCGACGAAAGAGTTAGCGATGTGCTGCTGAAATTAAAATTATTTATTTTCGTTTTACATTTTTGCTGTCCTCATTATTATTCGCTTGTTTTAAAATTTAAACTAATTTTCCTTGCAATTCGGGTACATCATTCGAAACACGCGCTCGTACCTTCCTTTCTTTATTAAAATATTTCATAAAAAATGTTTCATATATGTAAATCTAAAAGAGGAATGTTAATTGTGGTAGAAATGTAATGGCGCAGTTATTGCGATGCAAAGAGGAATAACACAAAGATGCATGGAATGTGAATTAAAAATAGATGAAAAGATATCTCGCAGAAGTATAAAAACTCATTGCACTGTGTTTCATTGAGTTTTGGCAAATTTTAGAACGAACGAATTCCCATATGTTCGATTGTCAACGAGTCAACAGTTATTAACAAAGACTGTTTGACAATCGCTATCAGGTCGCTGACAGTGAAACCAGCTCAGTCTCAAACATATTAATCTAAAACATCTTATGTGATCATCTCTCAATCACTGTTTCCATTATTTTATTATTGAACCATTCCACCGTTGTTGATATTTTTAAGATCACTCAATTGTCGAAAGCTCAATCAATTAATTAACCAGTTAACTAATGAAACACTTGACAGAATCATATGTCAGCATGCATAATTTCAAGTCTTTAATCGTAAAGTTAATTTTACCCATAATCACATAATTGAAAAGCTTGTAGCAAAAATGAACAGCAAATATCCTTTTTCTTAAGAATGGGAATTGTTCTTATATGACATCCTAGCAAAGCTTCCTTTTATGAAACTCTTGTATTATCTTTTTACTCCAATTACTACCCTTATAATTATCATGATACAGTATTATATGAGGATAATGAAACGTTTGAGAAGATTCATTTTTGTTACAAGTTCTTCAATCATATAGAAAGCGTACCTACAATGTCGAATGTTGATTATACAAATGGAACGTTCTATGAACAGAATAAAGTTTTTTGTAACGCGCGTAATTTATGTGGAGAAATGTAAAAAGGGAGTATAAGGAGAACGAGAAGTACATAAATAGGTAAGATGTATACAACAACGACGGAAAAGAATTACTCTAGTGAGTAAATTATAATGGAGAGCCGTTAAAGAGCCGTGAAAGACGTCAAACGAATTTCTCTCGTTCGCCTACCAATTATTCTTTTTTTTTTAATTGAAACAGGTATTCGTTTCTCGTCGGATGCAGTAGGATTTTACGCGTTGAAACGGCCCACGTTCTCGATCGAACCGAGGCGAATTTCAGTTGAATAATCGCGAACCGGTCGAGGACGCGTGTCTGCTTGAATGAAATATTGCGTGCGTGTGTGTGTGTGTATGTGTTCGTTTAGGGAAAATAGAATGTACAAACGTATTTCAGTGGACAAAAGTCGGAATTTTGTATATCCTGTTTATTTGTTCATACGAATTGTACCGTGAATTAATTTTTCATATTCTGTTAGCTATTTACGAGACGAGTTATGAATTAAAAAACTCTCTTTCTCCAAATATTTTGTGGCGAGTGATCACGAACACAAATGCTGACCCTTTTCCCGGATGTAATTAGATTATTTCGGCTTCATCTATCGTGGAATATTTAAAATGAATTTGTTTTGCAGTGAGAAATAATATAGGAAAAAATTTAGTATAATTGGATTTCTCCTCTCCTTCAGCATGCCAAAATTAAATTGTTATTTTCACAAGCTATATTAAATTCTGTTTGAATCGCTCGAAACGTTTAAATAGCAACGAAACCTTATTCAAAATAAAATAACTAATTAGTTGGAGGAATTCTCAAACAATTCTGATTTTCGTTCACCTAAGTACAATTTATAGTTCGACGTGTGATGATTATCCCTTTAATTGGATGAATTGTGAGTTACGAAGAGTGAAAGAGAAATTGGCGAACATGTAAGAAGAGAGTGAAGTTGAAAATATTTAAAATCCTGGGAAGGTGAGAAGCCAAGGGCCAGACGTAGGGAAACGATGTCCACCGAATTATCCCTCAGTCCCAACTATATCCCACCCCTTAACGAAATACTTTCTACTTCAGAATAAGCGTTAATATAAAGAAGGATGAAACGATGAAGAGAGAATCCCCTGAACTCTCACTGGGTGAATAAATTTTCAAGGCGTCATCAGCCGCGAATTTTATACGATGTGTGCAAACACTCATCCGTTCTCAATTTTAACGATTCTCCGGTTTTTAATGGCGTTTTTAACTGCTTTTCAACCTGGTTCAGCGACGTAGAGATCGTTATAGCAATTCTGATTTATATTGCAGCTCATCACCTGTTTTGTATTTAAAATGCAATTATAAAAAAAAAAAGATTCCCCTGACAATGGACCAATGAAACTGATCGTGAGAAATAAAATTAAAATGTTAATTGTCTTTCAGTTTAGGAATAAGCTGCTTTTTCTTTCTATGCCAAGAGCTACATAAATTCTATACTACTTATTTAAAACGAAAAGTAATGTTAACTTTCACGCGACAGTGTATTTTTTACTTACCTAATTAAAAGCGTTCCTAACGCGTGGGAGATGTTTAACATCCGCATCTTTTTTTTGCCATTTTTCTGACGAAGTTACCCGCGAAGGAGCTGCGCATAATTAATCACGTTCCTCGCGCTGCGTTGTACGCGATCCTCGTCGCTGGTATCCGGGATTTGAAACGCTAGCGAGAATTTTAAAGCATTGACGAAAAAGAGAAGCAGAAACCGGTGGCGGTTCAGAGTTGGAAAAACAAGTGGAAGAAAGCGTAAAACGCACTGAAGAATTTAAATATAGGCAGATCTCTGTATGTGTGTGTATACCACGTGAACTTGTATAATTTCCGACGCGAGACTCAAAAGGAAAGAGAGGAAATAGGTAAAGAATATGAAGAAAATATAAAAAACGAAACTGTGTTCCCTTTCCACGACCTTTCAGCATATGTATTGTTTTCACACGATTCTCGACGCATTCTTGTACATAATGTTTTACTCTTGTAAATAAATTATCCATATGATCCGATCGGGTTGATTCACTTCGTATGTACCCCTATTGTTAAACTAATTATTTTCAGATAAATGCTCATTCATTTCCACAGTTAGATTCCGTTATGTATCAAATAATTGCCTTATATAATCAAAATAGCTTTACTCGTATTTACTTATTATGTTGATGTAAGAAGAATTCAAGTCGAATAAAAATTTTATGATTATGCTCTGGAAATAGAAAAATTGAGAACAAGTATAGAGATTTGTGGTAAATTTTTATTTCTTAAATAGTTTGATACAGTTTCGTTCACGATTCCATGGAATATTGAAAAATCATAGGAACCATAGTATAAAACGAATGACGTTTATTATGTTTCCTGGACTTGAGACTTCTGATATCAAAACGAACTGGGTTAAATGGATACGACGGATGTAAAAATATGTATGCAAAGGAACAGAAGTCGAGTATCCCTGAAAAAGGAATTGGCGGGACATGGTATGTTTTTCGATGGTGAACGTTTCAACTTGAAACCCATTTCTGGGAATCGATTGTGATTCGTAAGTAATGGTAACTGGAGCGAAGGCGTAGCTCGGAGAAGATCGATAGACATGACCCCGATGCGCTTGAACTTTTCATGGGTTTCGGGATATTTAAGGATGCTCGAACATTCGCAATCGCGAGAAACTTCTTCCTGGCATGCACGATAAGCGAAATGACGATTGACCGGTTCAGTTAATCCTTGCCATAAATCAACCCTTCCACTCCCTCAAAACCGACAAAAACTACCGGCTCCGCTCGGTTAATTGAAAGAACCCGAGTTTTATTCGCGAATTACGCAGGAAAGAAGTTGCAGAAATTCGAATAAAAAATAACTTGCGGCTGTGCATGTAATTAATTTGTCCAAATAGAAATACCGTTATATTGGTAAATTAATTAAATTGTTGTTTAATAAACTCTTCATTTGGTCAGAAATAAATTACAGCTGTTGAAACTACTGACGGATTTTGTAGGAGAGAAATGAGAGAATGACGACAACTTGAGAAGGTTATTGATAATTAATTGGCCCGAATAAATCGTTTTGACAGATACTCCTGCGAGCGATCAGAAGTAAAC